CCTAGTGCAGGTAGGGGTGCTTCCCTTTCATTTCTTCCAGGTTACTGGCTTGAATCCTTGGCATGAGTAGAGGCTGCTGAGCAGTATGTGTGGAAGAGAATTGCTGAGCAGAATGTTGTTTTAAAAAGGCAAACAGTGGGCATGTGGACATTTTTGTATCAGTTCAGCAAGATTATATATTAGAAGTTAGTTTACTGACACTTTTCAGGTTAGGCTGATAGGAAAGCCTGGCATTGACTCACAGAGCTGGTGACTGAGATCAGAAGACCATGATGAGGACTGTTTCAGAAAGATCTGGCTTAATAAGTCTCCCTATTTCTGAAGAAATACCTGCAGACATTTGGATGCAAAACAAGTTCAAAAACCACTATAAAGCAGGAGGAGGTTGACCTCTTTTTAATTTCTGCTGGTTTTCTCCAGAGTAAAATTGTGAAGTCTTCATTTTAGGAGTAAAAGCAGATTGAGTAAAGTTACTGTCTTTTAAAGTAAAAAAAAAAAGCCAAACCTTTTTCACATCCTCTTACCCAATTTTCATATTTTCTTTCTCTGTACCTGTCTTCCACAAAACACTTTCCTAAGCCAGAAAAATCAACACTTTTAAGACACATTATGAAAGCTAGCAAATTCCAACTCAAGTTCTCACAGAGAAATGTAGAAGCAAGGGACTGGAGGGTTGTCTGTCTTTTTTTTTTCCTGCCGGTCTCTGTGAAGTGCCTCCTGCCTGCATAAGCTCCATTAGGCTGCTGTAGTCTGTCGTTATTGTGCCTGGACTCTCCTGAGGCAGCCAGTAGCTCAGGGAGGAAGGAGGATTTCCATGGGGGGAAGTCAGGTATCCTCTGTTTGAACAGAGAAAATGATGCATAGAACAAAAGCTGTTGTGTTCTCTGCGTGTTGCTTGGTTGCTTGGATGCTTGGGGTCTCCACTAAGGCTGGTGGCCTGGGAGAAGGGATGGGGTTTTTTTTCGAGCCTCAGTCAGACTGTAATCTAAGGAATTATTTTATCTTGAAAATTCTGGGTAGGTGTTAGATGTCTGTCCTAATGGCTGCTTCTAATTGTGATTTGAGGCAGAAGCTTTGCCCTTCAGGAGGCTCACAACAGATCAGAGTAGGCATTTAGCAGCATAAGGAGCCATGAGTCTCGCCAGCAGAGGCTCCAGGTTGCATTAAAGCCTTGGCTTCGGTGCAGTCTGGTGCAAATTCAGGGGAGACTTTTGAATGCAGGAAATGATAAATTACAAGTTGTGCTATGAAGGAATGCACCACAAAAACATCTTTACCAAGCAGAACAGACTTGACTTGTAGCTATTAATTTCATGTTGATGTTCCTCTGTGCCCTAATGTGGCTGTGACCCTTGTGAGTCTAGCTGTTGTCTGGTGATTTTGTGTGTTGGAGTCATTTAGTGCTGCCATTCCTTGATGAAAGTGAAATACATATTGGAAAATTGAGTTGATTTGAAGTTGATTGCATCTCTTGGACAGTTTTGGAAGTTATCAGTTGACTTACTTTTCTGTTGTCTTCTCTTTCATAAATTTTATCTTACTTTGTGGGAGTCTTAGCAATTAATTCAAATTTTTACTTAGATACTGTTTTAAAATCAGTTATGGTTCTATTATCTATGTGAAATTTTCCAGCAGAATACAGTTTCTTCTCAAGTGTTCGTTTGTGAAACAGGTCCAGTTTTTACAGCAACACTGGTAAAAAATTTATCAGACCCAAGAGATGAGTCCTGCCTGTGTTACTTTGGTGGAAATCTGAAAGTTAGCTCACTCACTACAGGAAATCTGAAGGAGCACCACTAGAAGATCCAAGGCTGAGCATCAGCTGTGTGGTTAACTGCTGGTTGTTTCTGTCACACACGGGAAGCCCTGGACCTGTTTTGGTGTTCTGGGTTTTGGCTCCCCCTCTGATTGCATGCAGCTCCAGTGATGGTCTTTATGCTGCCCTGCTTTGATACTGTGTTGACATCTCTTGCAACATTTCATGCTTTTCTTTAAAAAGGCAGGTATCTGAAGTTAGGTGACTGTGTGACGGTCCCAGATTTTGGTGACAGAGCAGAGCTGTTTCTGACCGCCATAGTTACAGTAATAGAATAGCATGGGTTGGAAGGGATGCTTAAAGGCAGACAAGTCCAACCCCCCTGGAGTGAACAGGGATATTTTCAAGAAGATCATGTTGCTCAGATTCCCATCTAACGTGACCTGGAATGTTTCCAGGGATGGGACATCTACCACTTCTCTGGGCAACCTGTTCCAGTGTTTCACCACCCTCATTGTGAAAACCTTCTTCCTTACATCTAGTCTGAATCTACCCTCCTTTAGTTTAAAATCATTACCCAATGTCCTGTCACAATAGGCCCTGCTAAAAATATTTTCCTCAGCTTTCTTTGAGGCCCCTTCAGCTACTGGAAGGCTACAATAAGATCTCCCTGGAGCCTTCTCTTCTACAGGCTGAACAACGCCAGCTCTCTCAGCATTTCTTCGTAGGAGAGGGGTTCCAGCCATCTGATCATTTTTGTGGCCCACCTCTGGACATGCTCTGGCAGGTCCATTTCTTTCTTGCACTGAGGACTCCAAAGCTGGACACAGTACTCCAGGTGGGCACAGTCCCACCAGAGAGTAGAGGGACAGTTGCAGGAAAAAGGTCATGAAAATGTTGCTTCTTCCTTTGTGAGTAAAAACATGGATGGGAAGAGAAAGAGGTTTTTAGAAAGTAACATGAGCTTGCAAGCCAGCCATTGTGGCTGACTTTTGACTTTTTAAGTGCCTGGGGGTGGCAATAAAAGGATTGGGTGGTGCAGCCACCATCTGGCTCTCAAAGCAGGAGGTGCTTTCCTGCAGAGGGATAGGCTGCCTTGTGAGAGACACATCTGTCATGTCACCCTGGTTTTGCTTGTCTTTGGTGTGTTCTCATTCCCATCCATACATCTGCCTCCCAACCTCAGCACACCGAGAATACTGTTTGTTTTCAAGTCTTGTGAAGAACATCATCTTTTAAGCCAATGAGTATGGGTTGGGTAAAAGTACTAGAAGAAGGTGTAGTGTTAAAGAAGAAAAGATACGTTGACCTGTGTCCACTTGTGGCACGCATCAGCCTTGGGTTACATGAGGCAAAACATGAGGATGTGTTTTCTCAGGATTTATGTGTGCCTCTGTATTCATTCCCTCCCTTTCCTGCCAGGCATCATCAGCCACCTGCACAGAGACAGGCAGGCAGGTGTGTGCATGGACATTCCAAGGGTGGCTTTGCAAGGCTAGGTCTCTAACACACCTCGCTGTGGAAGACACTACTGGCAATGCCAGAATGGCCGTATCAATGCCTTTATTATAAGCATTCATACCATGCATTCACTGAAATACAAAGATTTTGCATGTGGTGTATTTTACTGGTTGTAGTGAAATCCAAATGAAACACATCGTTGAGAAAGAGGAGTTTTTCACATGGTTCGTAGAGACTGGAACACTGTGGAACATTAAATTTTTTATGCATGTGGGTAAGGTAATAAAACATTAAATCGTATGTATAACAGAGCCTGTAACAGCTCGGTGCAGGAGGGCTGCTGCACCTACAGAGGAGTCTCCCACCTCTGCTCCAGAAAAGAAATCAGTGAAAGGAAGAGTATCAACATTTTGGCTTAGACATATTGCTTCTTAAAAGAGGGAGGGAGAAACTAATCCGTGGATACCTGATCAACAACTCGGAGGTATCATCACTAGCACACATTTTTGTTTTATGGATGAAGATGCTGTTGGAAGAGTTTCGACTGAGTATTTTAAATGAACTTCTGAGCATGTTCTTTCCTGAAAGTACTTTTGATAAGTTAAAGTTTTGAGGAGTCATTTCTTTGCTAAGTTGAACAAGAGGCATGATTAAAGCCAGCTAATAAATACCAAAAGAATCTTCTGATTTACAGTTGCTCACAGGTTGATCTTGCTGCCATTTCTATCAGCTGAAGAACTTCAGATCTTATGTAAACCATTGACCGTATCTGAGATCCCACCTTCTGAACTTCTTCTTGCAAAGTACTAAGCACTGAACCCCAGCCCTACAAATCCCTGTGTGGGAAGTGGGTGTTGGGGTTGATGAATTAAATGGTGCATTGACATGGTGTTATTTCGGTATTGGGGTTGCTGGTGGTTTCCAAGGCAGCGATTAGTTCTATCCTGAGTAGCTTTGTGTGGCTGTGGGTGGTTTACCTCAAAGCATGGTGAAAGCAATGGTGATTTGGGTGATTCTGAGATTGGATGAGAGGGTTCCTGAGCCTCCCAAGGCTGCCCTTGAACTTACTGATCAGTATTTGCAGGTTTTCATGACCGCATGGCTATAGAGTTACCTGTTCTCTAAATGAAAAATCATGGTGAAAGAACTGCATGCAAACTAGTGGAAAAATTTTGGATAAGCAGTTGATGTTTTTTTCTGTTTACAGAAGAAAATATTTCTGTTGTTCAGAAACTCTTTGAAATACAACATAAGATTTGAGATAGCAGTGGCAAACTTCTATCCCTATCCATAGTAGATGAGTTGTCTTATTTCATAACTAAAAATTAAATCTTTTCTGCCTTTCTGTTTTTGTTTTTCTCTAAAACCAGTCACATCACTGTATTTGTGTGCCTTCAGCATTTGGGATTATCTACAGGGACTGAGTTCAGTTGATAAAGAAACAGAATAGTCAGATGTAGAGCTGCTGACTGTTCTTCCTGCTGTCATTCCTTTCTGCACAACAGTGGCCTGCCAACATGCAGGCAATGGAAAGAGAGAGCTGGTTGGGTTGCATGGCTGTATCTGTTGTGTCTGTGGAAATGACAGTGTGTAATTGCCTCTTTATTTCCATTCTGAAGATCTCTTTTCATATGCTCAGAACTGCTGATGTCCTCTAAGACATCGTGTGGCCCATTTTTAGCCTTTGTGCATTTCAGATTCATATCATTTGCCCTTTGTGTCTTTCCCCTGACATCTCAAACCATTGCTATTAACGTCCTTGTTTTGAACCTGCTCCTTCTAGATGCCAGACCAGTTTGATCAGACAGTGGTGCTTAACCAGCTGCGCTATTCTGGGATGCTGGAGACAGTCCGGATTCGGAGGGCTGGTTTCCCAGTCCGGAGGCCATTTCAAGACTTTTATAAAAGGTAAACACACTGCTGTGCTTTGGATGCCAGTCACAGGCACTAAGTCAACGTTTTCATGTTCAGGAATAAAGTGAAAAAAATTATATGGCAAAACCAGAACTTGTCTTTTAAATGAAGTAATATCTTTTTGGTTGCCAGGTATGAAGTTCTCATGAGAAACTTGACTCTGCCCGAAGACTTAAATGAGAAATGTGCTGTCCTGCTTCGTCTGTATGACAACACAAACACTGAATGGCAGCTTGGAAAAAATAAGGTAAAATAATCTGACAGTGAATATTGTGGGGCTGGTGCTTATCCAAAGCTGAGAGGACAGGATTTAGGCTGCGCAGCCTCGTTGTTGCCCTTGAAACCCTTATAACAACAATTAATGGTTGTGCTGAGGAATTTGCTGTCTGAGACACTTAGACACTAACTGGTGATTTTACTAAGGGACAAAGAGTCCACCTGACTTTTCTGCCACTGCTTGCAAGCAACAGTGCTGGTGACGATCAGAACTTAAAATGTAGTAGCTGGATTGTATAGTTTTTACAAGTATAGAGCATGTGAGATAACACCTGTTCTGCAAGGAGATCCACTCATACTAGCACACCCGTGATACCTGCTCAGTGGCCAAAATCAGGGGGAGGAATTTAAACACTGTTCATGTGGCAGAACTGAGCTGTAAGTGTGTTTGCCATGCTAGTCTGAGAGTCTTTTTTGGAAGTACATCAGACCTCGATATGTGTCCTGCTCAACAACCTCAACTTTGCCCACAACTTTTCTTCCTTCAATTATTTTACTTTACTTTTTACTAGTGGAATTTTAGGCTGAGAACTAAACCAATCCAGGCGGTTTTGCATGTTCATTTTGCCAGTTTGATTTGGACAACAGCTGTGTGTAGAGCTTCCCTCCTTGCAAATTTGAGCTCTTGGACTTAACAAATGATGTGAAACCATTGTGTACGTGGGATAAGATAACCCACTGCAGGATCTGAGATTTCCAAAATATTAAAAACATCTGGTGCAAAGGACTGGAGAGTGGATTACAAACATTAAGCTGTCACTGCCATGTGTGATCCCTCAGGCCTCTGCAGATGGATTGCTCTTTTTTCTCTGGGTACCTTGTTGCACTCCAAGAGCTTTCATAGTGGAGAGAGAGCAAAAAACAGATCCAGAAGTAAATTTGCTGGATAATGTGTTACACTTGCAGTTTTCTTGTCAACTGTTAGAACTGTGAAAAAAACTTTCTCATTACCATAAGATAGTGAAAATATTTTGTAAAATCTGATTGATTTCTCTGTGAAAAGTCCTTCCTCCTCGTCCTCTTCTCCCCACAACTGCACAGGTTTGAAGGGTTACTTTCATTCCTCTGCATGCTTAAGGAGTTTGAAGAGATGCTACTGGGAAAGGTGATTTAATCGTTTTACAGTTATTGTAGGACACAGAATCTGAAATACTCCGATGGCAACTGAAGTCATCTTTCATCCCATTTTTTCAGGCTGTGGCTTACACATAACACAGTGATGATTCTGAGCTGAAGAGCTGGCTGTACTTCTCATGATACTTTCAGATGTAGTATGTTAACTGTATTTGTGCACAGACCCTGGGCAATGCTTTGGCATCTTAGGGGCATTGTTTTAACCAGCTGTTCATCAGGACCTTGGCAGGAGCCAGAGGTTTGTTTTAACTTCCCCTACTGGAGCCTGAATTCATCCTCCCCTCAGGGGCTGCTTGCACATTTGTAAGAGTTTTCAGAAACAGCTTATTGTAGTAGAGAACAAGAGGACATTGGTTTCAGGCTGAAGATGGGATGGGGCACTGTCCCCCCCATGTTATTTAACAGGGATAATAACGACGTTGCAGTGATTTAGCTTCAGTGTGCTATTTTTGTTTTTTTTCTTCTCTTTTACATGTCAAGCTGCAATGCACCTGCTCAGGAAAAGGCATTAGCCTGGGCTTAACATGTGCTTAACATCCAGTTTTGCTCAGGAAATAGCTGAATAGCTTCCTGAAGCAGAATTTTGTTGTGTTTTTAAAGCCAGTGTGTATAGAGCTAAGGAAGATTGTCCACTGAGTGAAAGCAGAGCTCAGGCTGTCTGTGTGCTTTCCTCATCGCCATGTTGGGGTGTGCAGCCTGGCTCTCATGCTGCATAATCAAAGTGTTACTGAACTGGCAGCAGCATGGCAGCCAGTTGCTACCCATAGCTGAGACCAGCAGACTTAGCCTTCAAAATGGAAAAGTTGAGAAGACCTGGAAAAAGTGCTGGCAGCAGATGTCTCACCACCTTCTGAGTGTACAGTAAAGAGAAGAAGACATCAAGGCAGGTGGAAGGGTAAAGCTGCAGCCCCCTCTCTTCTGCTTGGCTGGAGAACCAGCTTCATTAAGGCAAAATAAGTTTGCTTTTGGAAAACCCCTGCTCCTAATTACAGTTTCCATTAGTGTAATCAGACTCTTCCCACTGAAATCTGAAGTTAGAGGGATCATCTGCAGATGTTTTCTTTAAACAGGTATATGTTTTGTTCTTTCTTGTTCAGGAAATGGTAAGTTTTACTAAATTCAAAGCTGAGGCTTGCTGCTTGAACTGAGATGGGCAGCACTCTCTTCTTTTATATATCATGCTCTCCAGAAGTTGTTAAGCCAGAAGTTTTCTTGTTTAGGTGTTTCTCCGAGAGTCCTTGGAACACAAGTTGGAGAAGCAGCGAGAGGTGGAAGTCACCAAGGCAGCAATGGTTATCCGAGCACACATCTTGGGTTATGTAGCTCGGTAAGTGACTAGATGAGAATATTAATAATCTAACTTTGGACTAGATGGGTGGGATGTCATGGACTTAAATCCTTCCAGCACAATTCTTAACTTTTCCTAGGAACCAAGCATCCAAGTCCTGTAATTCGCCTTTGAAAATGCCAGCTGGTATCTTTGCCAGACCCATGAGTATAACAAAATGGAGTTTGAATTGTTTTGAAGTAATAAAGAGGACAGTATGGAAGTTTGGAGGTCAGCCAGTATCCATATCGTAGCATTAGATCCATGGCAGCAACTCTAGCTGGCTGGCACCTTGTGGGCTGCCCCATGTTACCAGCTGAGATTCAGGTTTATCTGTGCTTCATCATGGTAAGACAAGAGAGGGCAAATAAAACTATTCAGTTGGGTTCTTAAAGAGCTATAACCTTAGGTAACCAAGGAATATTTCACTTGTTTACTTGGCTTCATGCATTATGTGTTAGGTGGAGTTGTTCATCCTGTTTATTTCTCTGCTTTTTCTACAAATCAGTTGAGGACAGTTTAAGGAAACTTGTTTGCATAATATAGTAAGTTCTCTTCATGTGTATATTAGTTCTGTCCTTATATTCTGACTAGTATAGTTACTTAAAAACTATGTTCCTTTTATAATGACAGAGCTATCTTAATGTTCATGATCCTTCCTTCCAGACATGTGGGATGACTGTCTATGTACATTCTTTCTCCACATGTGTGCACACAGAGCTGTCCTTTTAGTGTTTCTTTGTCATGGGCATAAAAACATGTAAAATGGGTAATGTGAGTTTCCTTAATGAAGACACAGCACTCACTATCGTATAAATGAATTTCTTTCCACTCAAAAGGAGGAGAATGTGAACAAGAATGAAGAAACCATCACAGAGCTAGAAATAATGAATTGTTTTACCAGCGTGGGCTCATTATTGCAGGTCACCATGGGAAGACCTCTAGCAACTGCTCACTACTTCTTTGTTTCCTTAAAAATTTGTTTTGTTTTGTTTTCCCTCCCAGAAAGCGGTATAGAAAGGTTCTCTACTATGTGGTCGTGATACAGAAGAACTACAGAGCATTCAGTGGTAGGAAGAAGTTCCTGTGCCTGAAGAGAGCAGCCATAGTCCTTCAGAAGCAGTGGCGAGGCCAGCTCGCGCGGCGCGTGTACAGGGAGCGGCTGGAGGACAGGAGGAAACAAGAGGAGAAAAGAAGAAAAGAGGAGGAAGAAAGGTGCAGTATGCTGTCCTACATCACTGTCCTGTCTCTGCCATACTAGCTTTTGTTCTGAATAGCCTTTATTCCGGGCTATCCTCATCAAGTGATTTTGAAAACCTCTGCTGCTTTTGCTCGAAGATGCACATAGCTGTCCTGGCAGCTTCATCTTGGCAAACGTATCCTCGGTGACCTTATTTTTGTCCGTCTTTTCCACATGTCAGATGATCTCTGTAAGCTGAGCTATTGCCTTAGCAAAGATATGTGATGAGCGTATGCTGAGCTTGATTTACTAACCTCTTTTCTTCCCTGACTTTTAGGGAAAGGCAAAGGCAAGAAGCAGAGCGTCTCGCCCAGCAGGTAACTGATATTTTCAGTGCTTTCAGACAGGCCATTTATTTGAGTATCTCAACCCAGCCATTATAAAAATAAAAGGCATCTGTGGCCTTTAAACTAAACTTACTACAGGAGCTGGCAGACAATGCCAAAGGAAACTCGATACAGTTGTTTGCATGGAAATTTCTTTCACCTCATGCTTCATTTATTTTCTGGCAAAGACTGAACTTTTTGCATGTACTTGAGCTTTTCAGTATCTGAGAGCAAATGTAATCATGCTTTCATTTTTCTCTTTCTTTCATTTCTGGTGTAGGGATATGGCTCCTTTTAAATGAACAGCATAGTAGGACCATACTGCATTAGAAATAAATACATTTTTCAAAGAAATCTTGCATTGAGGAGCTTTTATTTTAATTTTTTAAAATTTTATTTTGAATGCAGGCTGAAGAAGAGAGAAAGAGGCAGGAACTAGCTGCCATTCAGAAGGCCCAGAAGGAGGCAGAGCTGAAGCAAGAGGTGGAAAAGCAGAAAGAAAGCAGGCAGGTAGAAGAAATCCTGCGTTTGGAAAAAGAAATTGAAGACCTGCAGCGTGTGAAGAAGCAGCAGGAGCTGTCCTTGACAGAGGCTTCATTACAGAGGCTGCAGCAGCTTCGAGACGAGGAACTCCGGCGGCTTGAGGACGAAGCATGTCGAGCAGCCCAGGAGTTCCTAGAATCTCTGAACTTTGATGAGATTGATGAATGTGTCCGAAACATTGAGAAGTCTCTCTCTGTGGGCAACAGGTTTCCTGCGGAGCTGACTGAACAGACTGGAAATGCCTGCAGTGAAAAGCCCAATTTTAACTTCAGCCAGCCATATCCTGAGGAGGAGGTAGATGAGGGCTTTGAAGCTGATGATGATGCATTTAAGGATTCACCCAACCCAAGCGAGCATGGTCATTCTGATCAAAGGACCAGTGGCATCAGAACAAGCGATGATTCCTCAGAAGAGGATCCCTATATGAACGATACCGTGGTGCCAACAATTCCTGCTATTATACCTCCTTCCCACGATACTGCCAGTCTCCACAACTCTTCAAGTGGTGAATCCACATACTGCATGCCAGAAAATTGTAGACCCCCAAATTCTGTTGAACTTATTTCTCCCGATGGAGACTATGATTACGACCAAGACGATTACGAAGATGGTGCTATTACTTCTGGTAGCAGTGTAACCTTCTCCAATTCACACAGCAGCCAGTGGTCACCAGACTACCGATGTTCAGTGGGGACATACAATAGCTCTGGAGCATACCGATTTAGCTCTGAAGGAGCTCAGTCTTCGGTAAGTATCATTGCTTTTATTATCTAATAATTGATAGTGCAGCCATAGGGTCACCGTAGGTGTTGTCTCAAATGTCTGTGCTGTGTAGTTTGACTTGCTTGCACTGCGTATGGCCACAGTTGCCTGTTGCCATCTAGGTGCCACTGGGGTGAGTGCGTTGGGGTTAGAGGTAGCAGAGATGCTGCTTGCAGTACTAAGCTAAATGCAAGGATATGGTTCTCTCTGTTTTAATGCAAAACTGCACATCATTTAGTGAGGCACTCAGTGCATGGACTTGGATGCTCTTCATAAGCAGAATTCTTCTCTGTGTGTGTGTGTTTGGAGTTAGGATACCAGGTAGTGTGGTGGAGAATTGATTTCAGAAAAAACAGCTTGTTACGCGTGTGAGTTGCAACAGCACAGAGGAATAGGGTGCTTGCAGAAGTGCCTGAAATGCTGGATGCATTTTGAGATTACTTGGAGAGTAAATGTCACACAATGGCAACTGTTAATATTACTGAGGCAGACGCTCTCACTGAGGAGCTCTTTTCCATTGCTGTTTACCGAGCACGCCGTGGGCTTTGCTCCTACAAATATCTTTTGGAAGAATGAGATTTCCTCTGCCACTCACAGAATACTTCTGTAAAACTGTCTGATTGGGAAAGTGAAAAAGTATTTCAGCAATACTGATGTATTTAGAAGGAAAATGTTAACATGAAAATATCTGTTGCAGTGGAGGTAATGAAAAGCAGCCAGAGACAAGTTGACAGTTCTTGCCCAAGAGGAGGATACTTTTAGCTGTTGTGGGCCCTTTCCTTTTGCACGACTCTGGACGTATGTTGGAGACAAAGCAGAAATGCACATTTTTCTTTGGGGTGAGGATGGAGGAAGGCTATTACTGCAGCTTGTGGAGTGTGTTTCTTTGTCAAGCCTTTGCTAAGCTGTTGGGAGGCAGCACAGTGCAGCATACCCTGGCCACGCTCTTGCAAGGGGCCAGCTTTCCTGAGCAGCGGCAGAGCAGGTCCGTAGGTTTGTTACATGGTGTTAGGGCTGGCATGTCATCAAACAGTTCAAGCTGCAACTTACTACAGCGTGCTCCTCCCATTGTTAGCTGGACAAAGTACAACGAGGACTCATGTCCTTCCAATACATCATAAAATGTTTTAGCTGAAGACTTCTAAACCAATTTAATCTAAACTCTTCCCTGAGAGGTCAATTCACCTTTATCTTCTTTCCTCTGTAGTTTGAAGACAGTGAAGAAGATTTTGACTCAAGGTTTGATACAGATGATGAGCTTTCCTACCGGAGGGACTCGGTCTATAGCTGTGTGAGCCTGCCCTACTTTCACAGCTTTCTGTACATGAAAGGTACTGCGTCGATCAGAAGTCACTAAACGCACAGAGTAACGGGAAATGTCCGTTATACATTGTCCTCCAGTTCTAGTGGAGTTAGACTGTGTTCTTACGTTTCAAAGCGTGATGGAAAAGTAACTTAGATTGAATTGTTTTTCTCCTTTGCAAAGGAACATCAGCATTTTGGGCTGCCTTTGTTTCATTTTACATCTTTGCTGGTTCATAAACAATGGAATACCCAGTATAAATATAGCAAAATAACTTGCAAAGTCAAATAGTACCAGAGCTTGAGGGAAGCTGATTCCTGTCTCAAAAACCTTCTAACATAGACAGCATTCTACATTGCTGACCAGTTTTACTGACCTCAGTCAACTTTCATTTTTGATTCAAAAGGCACAGAGAAGGGTATGTGAAGAACGTACACAGGAGTTCTCTGGTTAAGATTCTTGGTTTTGTTTTCTGATGATTGATAGTAAATTATAATCTAGCCAAGTCCTTGTGTGAAACCCATCACTGTAGCATAACTTGGTTTCCTGGAATAGGAACAGTGATGAATGTAGGCACAGCTACATTTCATTTACATTTCCAACATAGTTAGCAGTAAGTTTTTGTGGAATGACAGGAATGTATTGGTTTGGTTAAGGCTTTTATGACTGGTGTAACTACAGTGCAAGGTGTATGGTTTCTGGTAAAGCCACAGTTTGGAATGACAGAGCTCACACTGGTGTATCTTCTACTCTAAGTATAGCATCTTCAAGCTTTGTGAGCTTGATTTGCACCTTATCTCCTAATAACCTGGACATTGGAAAGAGTTTAACACTAAACTTTTCTTAGATTTTCATTGAGATAAGTTGAAAACAGTGTTGAAGATCTGATTCTCATATCCAGTAAGAATTTAAAATAATTTATTATAATTATATGTTATGTATAAGTGTATATAATTAAATATATGTTACATATATGTTTCTGTTCTGTGAAGATGTGTCATAACTTAGGGGTCTTTACATTGCCAACAATATTGGTGGCCTTAAGGATATGTAAAAACAAGATCTTTGGTTTTGTGGCTTACAGTAGAAACTGAGTTTAACTGTGGTGTTGATGGTCAGCATCTTCCAGCGTTGGTTTGGTCACAGCTTCTGTTTTATAATATAATTGTTTGTTTTCACTGTGTATAAGCCCACATCTGTCTCTTTTGCCAGGTGGCTTAATAAACACATGGAAGAGACGCTGGTGTGTCCTGAAAGATGAGACCTTCTTGTGGTTTCGTTCCAAGCAGGAAGCACTTAAGCAGGGCTGGCTTCACAAAAAGGGAGGTGGATCATCTACACTTTCCAGAAGGAACTGGAAGAAACGATGGTTTGTTCTCAGGCAGTCCAGGTTGATGTACTTTGAAAATGACAGTGAAGAGAAGCTCAAGGGTGCCATTGATGTCCGAACAGCCAAGTAGGTTTATATGAGTTTATGTGTTAGCCGTAGTTCTTCCTAAATGCTTCCTGGTGCTTAATCTGGGAAGGTGTTGAGTGCTTTGCCTTCAAATTGTGTGTGTGTAAGCTTGAGAGTGTGTGTGATGAAGTTACTGAAAGCCACTGTTGTCCTTACTTGGCTCTCTCCTAAGTCCACAGACTGCTCCAGAGCTAAGCAAGTGCCAAGTACTTCAGAAAGCTGCTGCTGTGATGAACCCATATATGCTTTCTCCCAGACTACTTAGTCTGTAAAGATTCCCAAGGCAATTTGGGGCATGTTGCCAAGTCTGTAGCTGCAGGCAAACCTAGAATGAAAAGGGTGGAATTAATAGGCCCTGAATGTATTTAAATTAGCATAGGTCAAAGCTGTATCTTTTGTATGCATGTACAATTTTTTTTCATGTTTGAAATAGTGGTAGTGGTAGAAAAGTCTTTAAAATGTGTATGTTAATTAAAAAAAAAATTACTAAACCTAATAACGTCTTTCTTGCTAAATTAAGTTCCTTGTGGCTTAAAATTCTATGCTTCCTGAAGCATGCATCAAAAAAGTTTTCTAAGTGATGGCGTTTTTCCTTTTAAACAGTCATTATGTGTTATGAATTTATGGATTATCTAACTAATTTAAAAATTAGAGTGTGCTAATATTGGTAGTCTCATTTCTGTATAAAAGTGTAGGTAAGCTTCATACCAAGGTAGAGAAACATAGAAATAGCTATAACACTTGATTCCACTCAGCTCCTGGTAACTGCAGCTATCCATTTTATTTTGTTAGTTTAACAGAGTACTTAAACTAAATCAAAAGTTTAATCTTTTCCTTGGAAGTCCTGGCTTGAGTCTGATTTCAGGCAGCACAAAGTAACTATTTTCAGTGAGCATCCTGACTTGCTCTTGTAAAACCAATGGCTTGCTGACTGTTAAGTACATCTCTGAATAGAGACTGAAGTTCCTACCAGATTTCTTTTGTTGTAACTGAATTTGACTCTGTCTCATGTACCATAACATTTATTTAGATTTTTTTTTTCTAATGTATTTAAACTTCCTTTTTTTCTTGTCACCACATAGTTTCACTGACTGTGCCCTATAGAAGTTCTTTGCTGAATCTACCTTTAAAATTGTTAGGTAAAGGTTGTTGAACCTAACTTGAACTGTAGGTTCAATCAATGGCTATTTATGTATAAAATAGCTAAAAGGAGGGGTACTTGGATTTAAACAGCTGCATGTCGTGAGAAAAAAGCAATAGATTTTCTAGGTAACTTTAACAGTCACCGAGTGCATTCCTGACATACCGTGTGACCTACATATTTATTTCACCACTCCATATTAGGGACCCCATCCAAATTAAATAAATCCTAGGCTGATTCACTTAAAGCACAGAACAGGAAGGTATCCTGTTGGACACTGTTACTGGGAGGCGAGGAAGCCAAGCTAAAGAAAACAAGACAGAATTACAGGTTTTTGTTTTAATAGATAAATTGTCCTCATGAGTTTGATAAGCAGAGCTTGCACATGTTGTTTATAGGATAAGTAGGGATAGATATTTATGAGAATATTACAGCTGATAAGGAAGTATAGCTAGTTAAGGAAATAATAAGCTTCAGACAAATGCTGTATAACAGCATAAAGAAATGAGGTTGATTTCTTAAGCTTCAGGGAAATCTAATGCAATACTTAAATTACTCCTTAAAAATCTCATGCGTTGTGTTTCGTGATTAATATATCAATACTTAGGTGTCCAATCTACAAATCAGAAATGTGCAATTTTCAACAGATGAGTGCTCAGCTTTTTTTCTGGAAGTCATGTTTGGAATTGTCTTTTTGCTGACTCACAACCAAACAGAATCACTAATCCAAGTCTTGCTTGCTTTTTGTTTATCATCTTTAAGAGCTTTCTTTTTACTACTCCAAAAATTGCTTGGATATGTAGTCAGTTCAGAACTGTAGTCATTCCTTAACTCGGTTATCCTTGCCTGTCTTGAGGTTTGATAATGCTTTTTCTTTAGTTCTTGTTAAAACAATAGCAGAATAGTGAACATGGTATAGTGACATTCATAATAGTTGGACTGTTTGTACTGTATAGGCAGAAAACGCAACTGTCGTTTGGTGAATTAATACTGTCTGATAAATCACATTGTGAGTCTTGCAGATGTACCTGATTAACACTGACTGCTGTTATTATAAGTCTCAGTAGTTTGTGAGCCTCTCAACAGGACAGAATTTTCAAAATGTTAACAATCTCTTGCCATTTTCTTCTTTTCAGAGAGATTGTTGATAATACTGGCAAAGAAAATGGTATTGATCTAGTAATGGGTGATAGGACCTACCACTTAATTGCTGAGTCTCCTGAGGATGCAAGGTACGAAAGTCACCGAGCTTTTTTTCCCTTTTTAACCTCTGTGCCATCCTGATTTGTGCTTGTCATTAGTTTGTTTGCCTACTGTCACAAAATATTCAGGCTGTGTTAAATATGGTGCATTTATCACTTTTTTTGAAAGGCTGGTAGAGAAGAAAAACTTGTGGCAGAACAAGAAGAAAAAGACTGGGAAGAGTCAGGCTGCCAGTGAAAATTTGCCTGGAATTTCGCTGTTACCCTTTTATTACTCACAACTTTCTGAAATACAGCATATCTGTAGAAAGACAGGCATCAGCCATTGATGCTTACAGCATATCTGTAGAGAGACAGGCATCAGCCATTGATGCTTGTTGTGTACATCACCCTGCTGGATTTAGTTCCATAGATTAAATCAATACTTAAGACCCAGTAATCTGCTTCAAATACTTTTCTTTAGAGTTGGGATCTGTTTGCCTAGAGCAGAGCCTAGATTTTTTTCAGATAAAAGTTGTAATGTAGTCACTGGGTTTTAGGCTGAATAAGATCAGCGTGCAAGAGAGTGTTTCCCTTTCTTCTGATTTAATAAAGGGTCTTGCTTTTGTTGCTAAAGGTTCTGTACCAGATTGTAGGGGGAGGCTTGCAGGTGAGGAGCAAGCTTGACTTGTCAGATCAGTTGTTAGTGTATCTTTAAAAAAAAATTTAAAAAATCCCCACACTACAGTTTGTGCAAGATAATAATATGCTTGCCTGTAAAAATCAAGCATTTAAATAAAGCAAACTTAGTAATCAAAGCTTATTACCTGCTCCCTGGCTGCCCCAAGGCCAGAATACAGGATGCCTGTGTCAACAGCACTTGAGCTACTTTGTTCTGAAGCTTTCAAAGTTGCTTCACATTTGGTTCTTTTTAAAGCTATAATACCTTTTCATATCACAGGACCCTGACTATAATAATTTTGCAACATGTGCAAGGTGGAAACATTCTTCTTCTTGTAGGCATCCTTAAAATTACCCTTGAAATAAGTTATGAGCTTTCCAACAGTTATTGTTAAGATTCTCGTGTGATACGAGTGTATTTTAAAATGAAGGCTTAACTGAAGTCTTTTCTGGTAGACTTGTGTACATGCCCTAGGGACCAATAAGAAATGATCATCACAAAGACTTTTGTCATGCAGCTCACTCTTTAATTCTTAAAATGGAGAAGGAGACACTATACACTATTGTTTGGTATAGTACACATCACACGCTATCCAGATTAAATGATTTTTTACCTGTGTATTTCATGTTTTTTCTCAATCACCCCAGAATACCTTAAGGAGGGAGATGTGTAAGGATTTGCAGATTAAGCTTAAGTCAAAACCTCGTTCCTGTTTGGCATTGTTAAGTGAAGTACGAAATTATTGGACTGTGTTTGTTCTGGATCGGCTGTTGAAAATAATAGTTTGTACATGAGCTAGATCATGATTTTAGGCTGCTTCTTGTTCAAATGAAGGGGAAAAAAAAAACAAGAGAAACCTCATACCAGCCCTAAAAGAAAAGGTACTGTTTTGATTGTGGACGAGTATTTGAGGAAAGAAGGGATGCTTCAGTAGGCAGCCATTGCTGAGGGTTTATTCCTTTCAAACTCCCAGGCTCTTTTTCCATGTCCTTGGTTTCTGGGACTCTGCTGAAAGACAAAGGAGGTCCCAAGAGAGAAGAAAGCAAAAGGAGAGTAAAATTTTCCTCTGTCTTTTGCAAAGTGCCAAGGTTAATTTCTTTTTCATTGTTTACACAAAAATTACATTAAATTATGAAAGCTCCGTATTGTTCTTTAAAATGGAATAATTAGTACTAAATGTGCATATGTTCCTATATAGGATTAGAAAACATTTAGGATATGGCAGTGACATTACTGTTTGACAGACTACGCAGGTTTTCTCAAGCCATTTTGGCAGCTGAGTTTCCAGATGTCTGTGTTACAGGGAACAGTTGGCTTCTAAATGCTGTAGTTAAGGAGGCAGCACTTCAGTGTCCTAGGCATAAATTCTGTGATAAGCAACTGCAGAAAAGACAGCTTTGTATTTAAATCTGGTAGGTTTGCATATTTTTTTTTCCTCATCCTGGTGGTGGTGAAGGAGCCTCTACAGGAGAATAAGGAGTCAGTTTTAAAGGCTGGGTTTTTAAGCCCTTTGAAAACTTGGCCCCAGGTAGTTTTCATTAGAATGGCAAATTCATATCTCAAAGAATGGCATTCAGGAACCTGCCGAACAGGCCAAGCTCTGCCCTCAAATTTCAGTGGGATTGCTTAGAGCAGTTGAGCTTTGTCGTATAGGAGTGCTAGGAGGGCAGAGATTTCCCAGAAGCAGGAGGTGTGGTTGGAATTAAATCTTCCCGCAATTGCTGCTCTGCACTTGGGGGGGGGGGCAAAGTGCTGGAAACCTCCCTGCCAGGTTTCCTGTTGTAGGTATATACAAGGCCAGTGGAGTGGCACCACTAGGCTCTGGTTCAACTTCACAGGTCCTTCCAGCAGCTGGATTTTCCAATGCTCCCTAGGGAACAAAAAAATGTAGAGACATTTGCTTGGAGTTTTTCTTCTTTTGGCCCTCTCAGTTGTGCTTCAACAGAGGATTTAATGGACTTGGGTGGCCTTTGCAGAAGTGTCATTGTAAGAAACTATTACCAGTCATGCTGTCAGTGCAGCAGAATTTAAAATCTGAAGGTTGGACTTCCCATTAAAGGCATTGTGTGTAGCTATGTATTTTTTTTTCCACACAAAATGTGTGGAATGCGTTATAAATACTCTCTAAGCACTCAGATGTTCCAGTGTGCTTAATACTGGCTTTTCAGAGATGCCACTTTTTGTACCAGGTGTTTTTCTTCAGGAAGAAGGGTATGACATGAGCTTGGCTGGGAGATCTGGAGGCGCTTGCTTGTACCCGGTGTTACTTGAACTGACATAGAGCCTTGCTGCTTTCGTGCATGTTGACAAAAGGAATCTTAAGCAATTTCAAATACCTGTAGAACGTGCTAGATCTCTGCGGGATAAAGGTGACAGGAAGCTTATGCAGGAGCAACGTTTTACCTACACTGCTGCCTTTCTCCCCACAGCCAGTGGTTCAGTGTACTGAGTCAAGTCCATGCGTCCACAGAGCAAGAGATCCGAGAGATGCATGATGAGCAGGCAAATCCACAGAATGCTGTGGTAAGTCTAAATCTGCAGAACTTCTCAAAGCAGATCTTTTTAGAACAGCGGCACTGTGGTGGCCACAGCTTCTGAGAGTCACAACCTAGGATTCCTTAAATGCAGTGGTAGCTGTGAGGCTTGCTAGAAGCTACATGTAGTTGATCCTTTAGCTAAACAAGAAGAGAGTCTGACTTCTGATTCCTCTCCCATCATTCATCTTGATGAAAAATGAGCGTTGCTTTTGGGGATATTTTTTTTTTCTTGTACAGTTCCCTATCACACCACACTGTATGCTTGAGTTTGAAGTTTTCCAAAGATGCAGTTAATGAGTAAATGAAAAATCCAAAAGTTGAAAATCTGAGATGTCTCTGATCCTGTATTTAACATTCTGTGTGACATAAACTACAGTACAATGGGATACATTTAGAACCTAATACCAAGCAAACAGAACTGAAAACTTCTGCTTAATGGCTTCAGAAGGTTCCTCTGAGAGGATGCCATTTATACTGGGATGGCACATCTAAGCAAAAAATACAAGGAAGATTGGAAGCATAGAAAAATAAAAGCAGTTTTTGAGCTGCCTCTAGCTTAACTAGAGGTAATCTTTTACTGGAGCTGTTTATCTGAGTCTCTTAGTTTTCCCCTCAGAATTTTAAAGGCCAAGAGAAGCTGATGCCCAAATCTGCAGTTCATTTTGCTTGATCACAGGTGCTGCTCCTTTCAGCTGTCTCTGGGAAGAGTACTGTGAGTGATGCAATAGTAAATGTCTTCCTCCTTTTCTGGTTGGATATTTGTTTATAGGGTACGCTCGATGTAGGACTAATTGATTCTGTCTGTGCTGCTGACAATCCAGATAGGTAAGTCACAACCACGCCTGATGACTTTTTTTTTTTCCTTCTTTCTGTAGCCAAAATTGGATGCTTTATATTTTAGTCTTTATATTCTACTGACCTACCATGCATTAAAGTGATTCGTTATTGCCACCCTCTTCATAGTACTAAACACATGTTAAAACATGGAATAGGAATGTTGGCATTTCCCCCAATACTGCTTCAAATATGAACTGTTCAGCTACTAAAGTGGTCCAAAAGTAGAAGACTTAAGTATTTCTTTCATTTATACAAGCACTGGTCATGGAAAAGAACAGCTTCTTTTTGAGTCCTTTAGCAATTTAGTAGGCAGAACACTTCCTGTTAACATTTTTCTGTTCAGCTTCTCATGGAAGAATGTTGTATTCTACAGGGATGAGTATTATTTCCTAGTATAAAAATGCCTCCTAACAAAAAAGATAACAAACCATAAAAAAATAGTCAGGATATTCTTAGTTCTAGAACTAGTAACAGTATTTTGGAGGAGAAAAAATGGCCTTGGCTCAGGCTACGACTCTGGTTCTAAGGTTGCTGCCTGTGAAGTGTTACTTACACTGCAGGACTTCATTCAGCCTCCTCAGTGGATGTGTGAAGCAGCTGGGTTTAAGGTACTGGTTTGTCCTTGGCCTGCCAAGACGTAGATACCACAAATAACCACGATTATAAGCACAGGCTTCCAAAACAATGCAACACAAATGTCCAGAGCTTTCAGAATTTTAAGTTAGAAAGGCACTTCTCCTGTAAGCACTTTTCACACAGATTTTTTTTTTTTTCACATTTTTTTTTTTTTTAGTTCTCCAAGTCTAAATCAGTGATGGAACATTACTAGCTGTAATGAGCACTAGCCATAGGTAACTCTTAGATAAATTTTAAGTTACCACGTCTCATGTTATTTGATTTACTGTCACCTCCCTTCACACGGTTTTCTAATTTTTCCTCCTAATAGTTTTATATACTTTTTTCTTTATCCTGTGGTCCTTCTAGCTTTTACATGGCACATACTGCTTTTGGAGAAGGGTGTCACATTTGGGTGAACCTCTCCACCCCCATAAATGATTTTTTGATTGGTTGTAGTTTCTACCCAGTTACCTTCTTTGCAAGAACTGCAAAAGGAAGGCCCATGAACTTCTTGTGTATAGGGTGGCCCAGACTACATCGTTCCCACTTTCTACAGCTGAGACAACTCTAAAAAACTATGTATCCCAGGATGAAAAAAATAATGGTAAAGGGTTAAAGCAAGTGTTTGTAGGCTGAAGAACCTGCCTCTAATCCAGAGAGCTGTCAGCACAGTTCACTTGGGCTAGTTCTCCATGCTTCAGTGAATCTTGGTGTAGGATTGGGTAAAAGCCAGACTCTCATTAAAAATAGATTGTACTCTCTGCAAATTGGGTCACGCAGCATTAAAAATAAAAGAATCTGTGTTCACATGCAGCTTCACTACAGACCTTTGTAAGTTGTAGTTGGTTTTAGCTAATGTAGCTACTGAAGCAGAGACTCTAAATGGATCTGACCCTGAAACAGAGTTCTGATTCACATCCAAAGCTGATTAACGATTGGAGGTTTTTCTCACCATAGATTTACTTTGAGATAGGACAAGCTGCAATTTAATGTAAACTTTCCCACCATTCAGAGCCCTAGTATTTTGGTGTGAATCAAACCTAATCAAGTCTTTTCAAATGGTTCATTTTTTTTTTTTAGGTTTAGTGGTGTTGAAATAAGTGTTTTAGAGGTGGACAGTATTTGTCTGAATAGAAAATGCAAACAATGGACAGTGTTTATGGTGAGTGAGGTAAACAGGACATATGTTGATTTTAAAGGCTTTTTCAATCTTCATTTATTTTCATAGACCTAATTCATTTGTGATCATCACTGCTAATCGTGTTCTTCACTGTAATGCTGACACTCCTGAAGAGATGCATCACTGGATAACACTGCTCCAGAGGTCAAAGGGGGACACTAGAGTGGAGGGACAAGAATTCATTGTGAGGGGTAAGAAATAAGTGGGGCAGTAACAAAGGAAATATCATCCATTAAGCTTCAAAGAGATTGTTCCCACAATACAGACTGGGTAGTATGCTAGCATAGTAGTAGTGGAGCCTTATCTTTGCATGGTGGAGTTTACTCACAATTTAATACAGCTGAAATGATACTCGTGCTATGCCATGTAAGAAAACACTTTAATGATGACTAAAGTGGTTTTGTAAGGTGACAAAATGATTTTTCTAGGTAAACACCAAAGCTGGAAAGTTTTCATATTAAGTTTATTCTGTCTTCATCCTTTCATTGTCCAAGAATTTTACTTGAAGTTGTTTAATATTTATTGGGGTTAAAAAATTCACATTATATTTTTGTTTTTGTTGAAAGTATATAACTAACAATCTAGCAACTTAGCAACCTAATTGTGTCCAACTCTGTTTTAAAAAAAAAAAAAAAGTGAGACTCAAATTGTGTCTTTAACAGGATGGCTACACAAGGAAGTAAAGAACAACCCAAAGATGTCTTCATTAAAACTAAAGAAGCGTTGGTTTGTTTTGACGCACAATTCTCTGGACTACTACAAGAGTTCAGAGAAAAATGCTTTGAAATTGGGCACGCTGGTCCTGAACAGCCTCTGCTCAGTGGTCCCACCCGATGAAAAAATCTTCAAAGAGACAGGTAATTGTTTGCTCTGGTTCAAATATGCTTTCAGTTGCCTTCTGTCCTACTGCCTAGTAATGCAACAAACAGTACCATAAGAATGTTTTAAATGGGTTATTATGGTTGCAGTTTGACAAAAACCGGGTTCCTAAGTCACTGAGGCATTTTACAGGGAATTACTGAGTGAAGAACAGAGGTAATACTGTATACAGGAGTAAAGTTAGCATAGACTGACACTGCTCTTAAGTTAGTGTGAACACTTACAAATCAAAGACCTAGGGAAAGACACATGGGTAGCGTTCTCCCTATACATTATTTTATGTGCTGAGGAGCTATGAGGGCTAACATTGGTGGAGCAAGTATAGGGAGTTCAAGAGGAGTCCAGTCTGTGCTCACCTACATCCTGCACCTGAGTCAGCTCCCCTGTGCATTTTCAGAACTGGTTTTCAACTCGGAAGTGGCTGTTCGCAAATGAGAAGCGACTGTTGACAGCCCTGGATAATCTCATTGGAGTCACTGATGCTTCAAAGAGGCTCTCATTAGTGAAAGATGGAATAGATTCTCTGTAATTGAATCTGCTTCATAAAAAGCCTGTACAATGATGTGGAGAGAGTTTGAACTGAAATGCTCTTCCTATCATAGCTGCCACTTCATTGGGATGAAATTAATTACTTTTTAACAGAGTTCATGCTTCATACCTGTTTGTGCGTGTGCCACAGGCAAAGAGAGACTCTGGGATCCAAAGCGAGGCTGTGGCAGATTTTCCTGCTTGGGACAGGACTGGAGAAGTAGGGCCCACAACCCAGGAGCAGCTAACAGCATTGCATAGTGTTGTCTTATGGTCTCTTTCACTAAGATTACTGGATAAAATGCTGGTGATTGTACTCTGAGCTTACTCCTAGGCTTTTTTTAAAGGAGAGAATCTCATTTAATACCACAGTGTCTGTAACATGATACGTAATTACTCATACAGGTTCTGAGTTCCTGCAGAACTGCCAGCATGTTCCAGAATGCAGCCCTTGGGGGTCTGACAGGACTACAGCTGTGTTCAGATAGAAGTTGGGGTATTTTTATATATACAGCTTCTGTGGTTAATAATCTTTACTGTTGTGCTAGGTTATTGGAATGTAACAGTATACGGACGCAAACATTGCTACCGTCTCTACACAAAATTGCTTAATGAGGCGACCCGCTGGTCAAGTGCCATCCAGAACGTGATTGACACAAAAGCACCAATTGATACTCCAACTCAGCAGCTTATTCAGGATATTAAGGTAGGCACAAGCAGGAGGGCATGGGGTGAGAAAGAATGGGTATTTAAATCCTTTTTATGTTGGCTTTGCCATATTGTGTAATAAAGCAGAAAATTCAGTTTTAATCACACAATGACATGGACTGAAATTGTGGAACCTAAATGTATTCGCTGACCTGATAAAGGAATTTATTTCTAAACAGTAAAAGAGCAAAGTATGAAGCACAACTTGGAGGGCAAGAGGGATAACTTTTTTCCATGAAAACAGTAACAAGCTTTACTGGTTTGTGTAACGGGAGCAATGTTGCTCTAGCTGGCAGTAGAGCACGGTGTGCAGGTTCCTGAGTGTGCTTTCAGGAGAGAGGGAGATAATTCTCAGGTGAGACCAAAACAGGAGGCAAGAGGGGAAAGCTGCTATTAACTTTTCTTTTAGAGTGCCTCCTCTTCTCTCACGGAAAAGAAGTATTGTGTCCTAAATTCCAAGACTGTGAAAGCTGTTCTTCAAAGCAGTAGACATATGGAAGTTCCAAACTGATAGAAGACAGTGGTCATACATCTGTCAAACTTGGTCTAGGAACAGTATTTAGACATCAGAGTGGGTACATCAGTTTTATAGTTTTTCTGGACTATTTTGTTATGGTAGGCCCTGTAGTGTCTAACAGAAAAGGCCAATTAGTTGTGCTGAAGAAATAATTTTAAATAAAACTTGAATACAGGTGTCTTAATTCCAGTTACAAAATACTGGAGTAAAATTGATTGTAAAACGAACACACATCAAAAAAAAAAAAACTATGAAACTTCGTTTTTGTGTCCTGCAGCTCTTCTCTGGTTGGTACAGATATAGTAAGCTTGCAAAAGGCCTGAGGTTAGCAGATACTGACCATTCATAGCCCACAGTGTGCCATGGCAACCACAGTACCCACAACTGGATGTGGCTCCAAATAGTGATGGTAAAACTAATGACCAATTTTATTCAAAGCCAAAGAGCAAAAAGCATTGCGTTATCATTAATGCTGGTGCCCAAATCGTGTTTGTTTCTTTACTTACTCCAACAGGAAAACTGCCTGAATGCTGATGTGGTGGAACAGATTTATAAGAGAAACCCAATACTGCGCTACACCCATCACCCCTTGCACTCACCATTGCTGCCACTGCCCTATGGGGACATCAATCTGAACTGTAAGTTTCTCAGTCATAGAAAAACTTTTCTTTATGAAAGACTAAACCAGAGGATGGGACTTTCTAGTCAATGGGCTAACAGTGAAGTAACAGGAGGCAAAATATATGATACCAATAGGCAAGTTTCCCTGTTCCCATCGGGCGGGTAGAGGCTAGCATTTGGTCTAGCACAGAGTCATGGGCCTGTAGTGCTCCTGCTTGGGTGTTACAGAAGGGGAGGTTGCTGTTGCTGCTGTAATAGGTTTGTTACCTTCAGCAGCACAGCTGAAAAAAACAGAGTTTGAAAACCCTTGCACTGAAATAAAGAACTAAACCAAATTCATTCCATCTCCTTGAATCATATTCTCCTCAAATCGTTGTTGCATCCTACCCCATGTGGGGAGCTGCAGCAGCCACAACTTCCAATTAACAAGTGTAGGTTTTACCAGTTGTGGTGGGAAGCACTATGTATGTCAAACAACATTTGAGTGAACATGGTTTTAAAAAGTAATGCTTCATTTCTTCCTGAAATAGGTGTAATTATGTTTTAATATCCTTGGCTCAATCACTAACTTTAAAGTCTGTTTTGAATTAATGGTTGAGTGCTATTGATGGCTGTGAATCTTGTGTCCCTATCTTATTTTGCAACTGTGTATTAACCAAGGTGTGACTCAGGTCAGAAGTTACATCTGTAGGAGAAGGGTGGGAGGTCACTGCTGGTTAAAAGCTAAGGTATTTAAGGTAAGGCTTCCTCGTAACTCACGTGCTGTCCTTCCACTCAAATGACAAGAAGATCAAATCCTAGGAGAAACCTTTCCCCTCTCTTTCTGCTCCTCTGGTATAGTGGCAAGGCACAGTTTGGATCTTGTTGGCCCCTGAGCTGGTTGTCCCCTGAGCTGGTTGCCACCTAGTCCAGTGCAGCACAGTTGTACTCTGCTCCCCATGGGCAGGGACGGCGAGGTCCCTCGGAGGCAGAAGTCTTGCCAAAGTCTCCCCACGCTAAGTGTAGCTGCCTGGATAGACAGATACTCAGTTACTGCCTTGACTTGCAATTGAATTCTAGTTATTTTCTGCAGTAGTATAATGTCAGGTTAGAAACTTCGCATGTCTGTACTGTTTTGTGCTTTGGTGGTTAGTAGGCCAAACTGATTCAGACATCAGAGAAATCTCCTCCATCTCTTGAACCCAAGAACCACATGGTTCTTTTAAGTAAATTCTAAAAGCTGTTGGCTCACATTGATAACCTGTAGTACAAAGCCAATCGCCACCTTTTTCTGCACTCAGAAAGCAAGCTGCAGTGTCAGGGCAATGATTTAGTTCAGCAGTATTCTTTGGCTTTAACTGAAATGCTGCTGCTGCGGACAAAAGTGATGCCAGGTATCTTTGTCACTTTCCATAACACACTCATACTGTACCACACTTAGGATTCGGTCAGATTTTCACTTTCTTCTGACACTGAAAAAGTGATAGACACTTAAGCAGTATGGATTGCTTTGGAAGGAAGATTCTCCATCAAAAAAGTTATGTTGTAAGCAATTTTCAAATCAGGATTTAATTAAATTCAGTAGAAATCCCGACAGTAAAATAGCTCATGAAATGAGTTTGCATCATACATTTGAAATGGAAAAGATGTATTCTAATATCTTGGTAACCCAGGTCACAGAATAGCATTAAGCCATTCCTGTGTTAAGCCTGGGTGCTTTCTCCTTCATATCTCTAAGCACCTTTCTCCCCATTTTTCTTTTGTAGTGCTCAAAGACAAAGGGTATACAACTCTGCAAGATGAAGCCATCAAGATATTTAATTCTTTACAGCAGCTGGAGTCTATGTCTGATCCTATCCCTATAATCCAAGGGATCCTCCAAACAGGACATGATTTACGACCTCTCCGAGATGAGCTCTATTGTCAGCTCATCAAGCAGACCAATAAAGTGCCTAACCCTGGGAGCACAGGGAACCTCTATAGCTGGCAAATACTCACCTGCATGAGCTGCACGTTTCTGCCAAGTCGCAGCATCCTCAAATATCTCAAGTTCCATCTCAAAAGGTGAGGAGTTTTGAACTACTAAAGCAAAAAAGAAGTTTCTTCACTCTGTTTTCTTCAGCACAGCTTGTAACAGTGTTTAGGGATCTTAAAGTGAGACTCGAACATGCATTCATTAGTGAACTGGTTATGCCAAACAATGAATCTAAGAAGAAAATGATGTATGAAAAGTGTATATGAGTTGATCTAGGTGGAATTATTCTCACTTGAAGATTCAAACACAATCCCACAAAACTGAATGCACAATTTGTTAACATTGACAAAAGGGGGGCCTTCTGTAATTGTATAAACTTTCTGAAATGACTTGCAGCCCACACTCCCAGGTCCCATTCTCAACTGTCCAAATCAACCTGTTAAAAATTCTTCATCCTGTTTACCTTAGTTTTATGAGGTATGCATCATGCACATAAAATACCATTACGTATTTGAAGACGTGAGGTAAACGTGTCTGTTTGCAAATCTAATTTTAAGATATTAGTGAACATTAAAAAAAAAGTCATCATTGACAGTTCAGCATTAACCTGAATGCAGAGTTCCTCTGGCTGTGATACAGCAGAGGAATGCAGAGTGTGTCAATAGGAAAGTTAGTCCAACAACAACGAACCATTATAAATAATTTAAGGCTTGGCTGTATTTGTGCTAGAGCATGTACTTTGTCAATCACTCTGCTCAATCTAATTATTTTATGATGAGCGAAGAATACCAATCACTTTATATAACTGTTAAAATTAAAAAATCCAACATTGATTCACTTTCTCAGTTTAACTCAGATCATAAACCAGCCTCCTAGTTAAAAAAATGGGGCTGACGTAACATTTGTGGGTTGGTTTCAATCTTACAGATGCATAGTTGTCTTATACCAGTTCTGTGATCTTCCAGTCATCTTTTTGTGCCTTGTAGATCACGAATCACTGTGCTTTATCGCATAAGTTAAACTCTAGTAGCTCTATGAAGCTAAAATTTTATCACTGGAAATCTTACAGAAACACTCTGTACTGACAGCTATCCAAATTCAAGAGCTTTCACTAATTAACAGTTGAGTTTATTACAGTTGTTAGTGAATACTCATAATAATAATACTACTAGCTGCTGGACAGTTAAGGCCTTCAGAGAATCTTCAAGAAAATCAGGAATGGAAATGATAGAATCATAGAGTGCTTTGAGTGGGAAGGGACCTCAAAAGGCCACCTAGTCCAACCCCCCTGCAGTAAGCAGGGACAGTCAGGTATCCAAAGTGACACTACCACAAAACTGAGCAGTCAGGTATGTTTTATTGCTTTTTTTCTGCAGTACCTTAGTGCAGTTTAGTCTTCATTCAACAAGTGTTGTTGACAAAAAGGGGAGTTGATTACAAGATTCTAATAGTTACCTTGCTCTCAGATCTGAGTCATAACAAGATTCTTGTAATTAGTGCTATAAAGATAGTTCAGTTTTTTCTTTCTGTTAGGTTTGTAGAACAAAAATGGTGAAAGTATATGAGATATCCTGCAGTAGAGCACAAGTTAGAACACTTCCCTTGGCGGTGAAGAGAAACTTTGAGCTTATCAATTAGATAGCACACTGGATACAGAAGTACTTTCAGGGAAGAAGAATAATTCTCAAATAAGGAAGCTTAGCATTTCACAGTCCAGCAGCTTAAAATGATCGTATTTGTCTCACAGGGTTCGTGACCAGTTTCCAGGAACTGAAATGGAGAAATATGCACTTTTTACTTACGAATCTCTGAAGAAAACCAAATGCAGAGAGTTTGTGCCATCACGGGATGAAATAGAAGCTCTCATCAGCAGGCAGGAAATGACATCCACAGTTTATTGCCATGGTGGGGGCTCCTGTAAGATTACAATCAACTCGCACACTACAGCTGGAGAGGTGAGAAGTGGTGACAGAACGACTTTGGCACACAGACTCACAGACTCCCTTCGTGCTCCAGTTCCAGGCAGTAGTAGTGTTACACTTTGGTTTCCTCTACTGGTCTATCAGGGGAGGGAGGGAGGGCTTACAGAAGTGTCCCACCAACCCCTCAGCATGTTCTGAAGAGATCTCTGCTATAAAAATTGTCTTTATTCTGCAGAGGATTACCCAACTGTAGTTCCCTCTTACAGGAAAAATATCAGGAAAGACTAAGCAACTCAGTGGAGGCGTTATTGGAATATCTTCAACAGATATTGGTGTGCATGAGAGCAAAATTGCTTCCTAAAATGGAAGACTCTTGCTGAGTTGATGAAATAGGTTTTATCTTGCCAGGTGATAGCACATAGATATTCTGAAAGAATCAGCATTATTTAGTATAAAAATTGAAGTGGAATTTGACAACAGCTAATACTGCTGATGAGAACATTAGCAACATTTTTAGCCTAATGTAAGACCTAGCTCTGAATTTTCTTCTAATTATTTGTCCTAGTCTGTGGTGCTGCTTTTCCCTGCTATGTTGTTTTTTTTTTTTTTTTCACGTGCTGTTTTTCATTAGGTGGTTGAAAAGTTAATTCGTGGTTTGGCCATGGAGGACAGCAGAAATATGTTTGCTTTGTTTGAATACAATGGAACCACTGATAAAGCAATTGAAAGCAGAACCATTGTTGCTGATGTTTTGGCAAAGTTTGAAAAGTGAGTGTGTCTCTCCTCTCTCACCACTCCAATAAGTAGCAATTAAATCAATTTCCAATGTCAATAATGCTGAATTTTCTCTTGCTCTTGCTTGTTTGTGGTGACACAGCTCAATTACACACAGGGCCATTTCTGAAACAAAAGCATCTTTATTTTTTTTCTTAAAGCAATTAGTGAGCCACCTATTCACTTGGGTTTGGTTTTCCTGCTGCAGACACCAGTAGAGTAATATTTCTCATCGCTATTTCCACATTTTCTTTTCCACTAGTACAATTTTTTTCACCATTACTAGCACTGTGGTTGCCCCAGTGCTGGGAGAGCTGAACTCCAGGCAGCCGTTGCTCTTCTGACTGCCTGTTACTTAACTTCACATGGAGGTCACCACAGTACAGCTCACAACGTCTTTCCTCCCAGTAAAACCAAAACTACGCATAACACTACAGTAAAAAAAAGTAATACAAGCCCAAATTCCTGTCTGTCAATCCTATGTTACAGGCATGGCAATCAGCCTCTCTATCCAAATAATAGGGGGAAAAGGGAATGTCTATGGTGTTATGCAATTACACTTTATAACAGGGCTTAATAATGTTGCTTTTATCAACACCTGACTGAGCCATAAATAAAAGTTTAATAACAATTTGAGTTAGAAACGGTTGAATGTTTCTAACCCAAATTCTGATGTAACAAAACAAAACTCAGCTGATCCCTTTAGGTGACAATTTAAAAAGGAATTTGATTTCATAGATCTGATCTCTCGCTCTTGACACAACCGTGCAGGCTTGCTGCCACTGCTGAAGCTGGGGAGATGCACTGGAAGTTCTACTTCAAGCTCTACTGCTTCCTGGATACAGAAAATGTCCCAAAAGACAGCGTGGAATTTGCCTTTATGTTTGAGCAGGTAAAGGACAAAGGGTTCCATTCAGAGCCACTTTTAAGAGGAGGAAAAAAGCAAGAGATCTAGGTAGCACCAAGAGTTTTGATTATGCTTCTGTGTAATAAATGCAAGAAATAAAGAGGAAAATGCATAACTGGCAAGCAAATTAATTATTAGAGACCTGTGTTGGCAACTGTACAGAACTAATTGAAGAACATTTTTTTTTTTTTTTCAAAAGCTGATTTCATAGGCACCATAGTAAGGCAAATGAGTCAAGTCTCAGCAGTAACTTTAAGGCAGCTATTAGGAGCGGGAGTCCACTCAGTGCATGTGCTGAGCTCAGAAGGAGGCCAATCTGCAAAATATAAAATAAGTGAAATTGATTTGTAATGAAAATTAAATGCAGCTGGATTTCTTTTGTATGAAGTCCTGTGGTTGCTCAGAAACTCTTCACTGATGGCATTTACTATTGTTGATTGACCTCCTCCTTTCCTACTACATTGCACATAGCTAAAAATTCTTCCAGTGGGCAGTTTCTGTAAAGTGAGCTGTAGAGACAAGATAAAGATTTCTGTGTAAGGCTGTTTGCAATGCCAAGACTCTGATGTTCTGTTGGTAAGCAAGCCTGATGTTGTAAGAACCAACATACTTCCATTTTCATACATAAAAAGACTTTTTCCCTTTCACATGATCAGAAATATCTTCACTGTAATAGAGTATTTCTTCCTTGTTCACAGTTTAGGTTTTAAGGCACCATATTACATCATGAGTCTACCAAAAATCTCCTTCCAGAGCCTACTACTGTAGCTCAGTCAGGACTGCTTATTGTTGGCTGAAGGACAGGGGCTGTAGGTAGCCTTGACAGGTCTTAGAAATGTTGCCATTCTGACTCTCTGTTTTTACATATAGAGAAGTCAGCTAGTTAATGCTTCAGCTTTGAGATGAAATTCATAGAGTAAGAAAAAAATCCATGAGAGTTCTGCATCAAATATTTCACATTATTGATTTAAGAGACAGACTTAGATAGTTTTCCATATGAACAGCTAAGCCAAGCACTGAAGCAGATTGTTCTTTTGCAGCATTCTGTGCTGACTTGTGTTTAGCCAAATATTTTGTCTTGCCAAGACCAACAGTATTTCTGTTGCAAAGCATGGCACATTCAATCTCTACAATTAATGTTGCCAGAACCCCTTGAAGAGGTGATATTACATTCTAATATCAGTTCTGTTCTTTTTGTTTCTAATTGTCTGCTTCTCATGTCAGGCGTCGACTTTTTTCAGCCAGTTAAGAAAGTTCATCCTTGATGCTACAGACCACTATAATATATAAACATTCTACTAACTTTCTTTGTGATCATTGAGGATTTACTGTTTTCTCTCAGTAAGGTTAAGGTTTATTATAAAGCTGTCCTAGGGCTTTGCGTGGTTGGCTGGAAACATCCATTTTCCCACCCAGGTTAGTGACAGCAGTAAGCAAAACTAGATACCCATTTTTTCCTAGTGCTCTTGAATAGAGATGGCTTCTTCCCCATCAGATGTTTAGATCCTGATTTTCTCCCCTTTACATTTTATTTTCCTTTTTAGGAGTTCAGTTGCTCTTACGGGAGCTCACCGATAACTGTACTAGCAACAATAGTTCCTGTTCAGCAAGTTCTTCCGTTGCCTTGCAGTTCTTCTGGTAAACCCCCTCTTGACAAATTTGCCAAAAGATTTACTACATGTGATTTACTTAATGGATTGTTTATTTCAGGTCCTGAGTTTGCCTGGCAGTAAATCTACTTCCATTTCTCTCCTGGTGCTTTCAAAAACTGAAATACTTTGAACTGAATGAACTTTGTACATAAAAAGCTACTTTTTCCCTCTTGATAGGCTCATGAAGCAGTGATTAGAGGACATTATCCTGCTCCTGAAGAAACCCTCCAGGTCCTTGCAGCTCTGCGCCTTCAGTACCTTCAGGGGGATTACACCCTGCATAGCAGCATACCAGCAATGGAGGAGGTCTACCCCCTGCAGAAGCTGAAGTCTCGGATCACCCAGTCTACCAAAACGTTCACTGCAGCTGAGAAGGCCGAGAAGAAACGAGCCAGCTTTCTTGAAGGAACCTTGAGGAGGAGTTTTCGCAGTGGCTCTGTCAGCAAACAGAAGGTTGAGGAGGATCAGATGTTAGACATGTGGGTCAAAGAGGAAATCTCAGCTTCCAGGACTAGTATTATTGACAAGTGGAAAAAACTCCAGAGGCTGAACCAGGAGCAGGCTATGGCAAAGTATATGGCTTTGATTAAGGAATGGCCTGGCTATGGCTCAACACTCTTTGATGTAGAGGTGAGTAAGACCTCCAGAACACCCAGACTACAGTTTATACTGTATAGGTGATCGTTCATTACAGATCAGTGAAACCATAAATAAAGTATCACAGTGCTCAGACAGCTGATGTAACAAAACATTAGCTATTAACAGTGTACTCACATTAGCAAGAACTGTAGCTATTCAAATCCACTAGTTAACTGTAAATACAGGGGGACAGAATGTTATCCTGAGTGATTGCAGACAAGTTTGAGAGGCGTAAACAACCATGTTCAGAGAGGGGCAAGTGATATGCACTTGTCAGAAAATGGTTACGGACTTGGACAGGCTGGAGAGGTGG